TTCGCTTCAATGACTGCACTACACGTTTAGCCAAGTGTCACAACATTAACTATAATAATAAAGAAATCGCAGTAAGGAACTTTAGACATGGCACGACTTTGTCTAGATTTCATTACTTTTTAGAGATAAACAAGCAGCTCCATCGAGACTTGGCTAGTTTTTTACAGAATGTTTATGGTGGGATTTCATTTCTTTTTGTATAAACGTGGGCATATTGATTTATTTTATAAAATTTTCTTACTTGACACATTTTTTTTCTTTTTAGGAGTAGTCTCTTTATTATTACAAATCTTTCTTTTCTTTTTATCCGGTTCTGATTAGTAGCAACAGTTTGTCGTATTTTCCCATTCGCGTTCATTATTTATTCTTTTAGACGGTTTAATTTCTGAAAGATCGGCGCGGTAGGCTTTACGCCTAAGCCAGTTGTATTCGGTGATCGCTGAAGTTTGAGCTTTTATACTCTTGAAGTCAACATTTATGAGGTACACCCCATGAAGATTGGTTACTCGTGAAAGCGCCACGTAGGCTTGGCCACAAGAGAATATGGAGGTGCTAATGCCCATGAGGGCATTTAGACTTAGACCTTGGTATCACCGCCACTCTAAGTCCAATGCATTATATTTTGACCAAATTTTGAGCGAAATTAATATTTTAGTGTTTTATTATTTGTTTATTTAATTTGTGTAATGTTCGAGTACAATAAAGTTAATCGTTCGACTATTTTTTCACTCGTAAGTATAAGTATAAAAGTCAATCTACTTAGTGTTATGCAGAGTTTTTCTTTAATTTTATTTATATGCGTATTGCCGCGAGTGCCGTGTAGTGCCGGCCTAGAATAGAATAGCACTACCCCCTCTCATCCCGTGGGTGTCGTAAGAGGCGACTAAGGGAAACTTCACCTAAGGAGATGGGCAGCAGCATCTCCTTATGCGAACCGGTATACTGCGATCGCCAACCCGCCTGCCAAGCGTGGCGATTATGGCTAACCCCCCCCCCCCCCCCCATATGAATCGAAACAACACAAAACGGCCCCTAGTTCCCGGCGGCCCCGCTATTCCTGGCTACGGTAGCGGCCACGGTAACGGCGGGGCAGGGGGTGCGAAGAATCCCCGGGTAGGACACGGCTACCACAACAACCGATTACTGGCCCTGGCAACCTACAACACGCGCACACTGAGGACCGATGCCAAGATGATAGAGCTGGAAGAAGCTATCAGCAAGTTACACTGGGACGTCATCGGGTTATCTGAAGTCCGAAGAGAGGGAGAGGACACGATAACCCTGGACTCCGGTAACTTGCTGTACTTCCGGGAGGGCGACCAACAGTCCGTAGGTGGTGTCGGGTTTATCGTCCACAAGTCCCTTGTCAACAACGTGCTGACCATCGGTAGTGTTTCGAGTAGAGTAGCGTACTTGGTACTCAGAATATCATCACGATATTCGATGACTGTCATCCAAGTCTACGCTCCAACCTCGAAACACACCGATGACGAAGTAGAGACTATGTATGAGGAGATCTCTCGGGCCATGCATAGCCACAAAACCCACTACACGATTGTGATGGGGGATTTCAATGCAAAGTTGGGGAAACGTTGCGGCGACGAGCTGAGAGTGGGGCAATTTGGATTTGGGGAACGGAACGATAGGGGCCAAATGCTGGCGGACTTTATGGAGATTAAGAACCTCTATATGATGAACTCCTTCTTCAGAAAGCTCGTCACCCGCAAATGGACCTGGATAAGTCCAGACGGCAAGGTCAAAAATGAGATTGATTTTATCATGTCGACGAAGAAGCAAATATTCAATGATGTCTCAGTGATCAATGCTGTGAAGACAGGAAGCAATCACGGCATGGTAAGAGGCACATTGAATATCAACGTTAAGCTTGAAAGATCGCGACTGATAAAATCAACGCTCCGACCGGTGCCAGCCCAAATTCAAAACCCCGAGCGCTTTCAGCTCGAGCTCCAGAACCGCTTCGAGTACCTTGAGAACAGCATAGACGTGGACGATCTGAACGACCTGGTGGTGGATACTGTCCGTACGGTAGGGTCTAAACACTTTAAAACCCGCCGTACCAAATTAAAGAAACTCTCCGCATACACACTCGAACTCATGGATAGGAGACATGAAATGAGACTACAGTACTCAGCGGATGCCCTTCGTTATAGACAGCTTAATAGACAGATCTCGAAGTCGTTGACGAGCGACCTTCGCCACTTTAATACCGAATGCGTATTAAAGAGGCCATAGAGCGGAACAAAGGCTCTAAAGTGTTCGCTAGAGATCTGTCTATTGGGCAAAGTCAACTGACGAGGCTGAAAACTGAGGACGGTAGTATCATTTCATCGACTCCTGAAATCCTGAGGGAGATTGAGAGTTTCTATAGGCAGTTATATTCCAGCAGAACACCAGGTGAAAGCAGAGCTCGAGATCCTAGAGCCAAGCTTACCCGACATTATACCGAGGATATCCCGGACGTCAGCCTGTACGAGATTAGAATTGCCCTCAAACAGCTTAAAAACAACAAGGCGGCGGGAGATGACGGAATCACAACAGAGCTTCTGAGAGCGGGCGGTACGCCGGTACTTAAAGTCCTCCAGAAGCTCTTCAACTCCATCATCCACCAGGGCAAAACGCCGAAGGCATGGAGCAGAAGCGAGGTGATTTTGTTCTTCAAAAAGGGCGATAAGACCCTACTGAAGAACTACAGACCCATCTCGCTTCTGAGCCATATCTACAAGCTGTTTTCGAGGGTCATTACGAATCGTCTCGCTCGCAGGCTCGACGACTCCGAAAAGGCTTTAGTACCATAGACCACATCCATACGCTGCGGCAGATTATACAGAAGACCGAAGAGTATAATCGGCCACTTTGCTTAGCGTTTGTGGATTATGAGAAGGCCTTCGATTCGATCGAGACCTGGGCGGTGCTGCAGTCTCTCCAGAGGTGCCAAGTGGACTACAGGTATATCGAAGTGTTAAAGTACCTATACCAAAACGCCACTATGTCGGTCCGAGTACAGAATCAGAGCTCTAATCCTATCCAACTACAGCGAGGGGTGAGACAGGGAGACGTTATATCTCCGAAACTGTTCACTGCTGCGATGGAGGATATTTTCAAGCTTCTGGACTGGAAAGGACTCGGCATTAACATCAACGGCGAGTACCTGACACACCTTCGATTTGCCGATGACGTAGTCCTAATGGCAGAGACCTTGGAAGACCTGAACACCATGCTCGAGCATCGGTGCCAAGTGGACTACAGGTATATCGAAGTGTTAAAGTACCTATACCAAAACGCCACTATGTCGGTCCGAGTACAGAATCAGAGCTCTAATCCTATCCAACTACAGCGAGGGGTGAGACAGGGAGACGTTATATCTCCGAAACTGTTCACTGCTGCGATGGAGGATATTTTCAAGCTTCTGGACTGGAAAGGACTCGGCATTAACATCAACGGCGAGTACCTGACACACCTTCGATTTGCCGATGACGTAGTCCTAATGGCAGAGACCTTGGAAGACCTGAACACCATGCTCGAGCATCTCAGTGATGCATCCCAGCGAGTGGGTCTTAAGATGAACATGGACAAGACGAAAATCATGTCCAACGCCCATGTTGCACCCGCTCCAGTTAATGTTGGGAACGTTACAGTTGAAGTTGTTGAGCACTACGTTTACCTAGGACACACAATCGAGTTAGGTAAGTCCAACTTCGAGAAAGAGATCTCTCGTCGAATCCAACTCGGATGGGCAGCGTTCGGGAAGCTGCAGAACATATTCGCGTCCAAAATACCTCAGTGCCTTAAGACGAAAGTCTTTAACCAGTGTGTGTTGCCAGTGATGACCTATGGCAGTGAGGCATGGTCGTTTACTATGGGTCTCATAGGACGGCTCAAGGTCGCCCAGCGGGCAATGAAGAGAGCTATGCTTGGTGTTTCCCTGCGTGATCGAGTCAGAAATGACGAGATCCGTAGGAGAACTAAAGTCACCGACATAGCTCGAAGAATAGCCCAGCTGAAGTGGTAGTGGGCGGGACACATAGCAAGGAGAACCGATGGCCGTTGGGGCGGAAAGGTTCTCGAATGGCGACCGCGTGCCGGACGACGCTCAGTGGGAAGACCCGCTACAAGGTGGACCGACGATCTGGTGAAGGTCGCGGGAAAACGCTGGATGCGGGCAGCGCAGGACCGATCGTTGTGGAGATCCTTGGGGGAGGCCTATGTCCAGCAGTGGGCGTCGTACGGCTGATATGATGATGATGATGATGATGATGATATGCGTATTAAAAGCAGAAGGGGAGGCATTCGCCCAGCAGTGGGACGCTATAGGCTAGATTAAATTAGAAGATGTGTCCCACTACTCTGGATTTTTGCAATGACAGTCGATATTTTTATGTACCAATAGTAGAAGTGGGCATTACCATATCTCTAATACAGCTGAGACCAGCTGAAGGTTCTTCATCAGATACTTCAGACGGCACAAGCGGTCTACCAAGTTGAATATTTTTTGTAAAGGCGGTATGTTGATCTCTTCTAATAGTTTGGTTGGGGTCTTGTGTTTTCTATTCAGGGTCACCAGGTACTCCAGATATTCGATGATCCTAGTTTTTAAAGTTTTCCCTTTACGTGGCCATTAAACCCTAACTCTGTACCAAATTTCAGCTCTCTGAGTTTATGGGAAGTACTACTTCTATTCTGATGATCATGAGTGAGTGAGTGTCATAAATGCGAAACTTTGCTTTCGCTTAACTTTGAAACTAAATGACCTACAGACTTGAAATTTTGGATATTAAATTTAAGGGGCAGGAAGTCGCGGGCGGAAGCTAGTAAATAATAAAACTGCCATGCGTGAACAGTCGTATCGGAGCCGCTGCGGCCCGGGCAGTCCCGGATGGCCAGTGTATCTAGGGCATTTGCACTATCACCTGCATTGATTGACCTAGGACGCAAGTACACAATTTATCGACGTACAATTCCGATTTTAACATCGGCGCAATATGCATCCTCCGGCGAGGGCGGCCGCCAGACGATTGCAAGTCGAGATGCGGCCCGGTTGCGCCCTGTTGCTGGCTGCCTGCTGCCTTTGTGCAGGTCAGTATAACACTCTGCTTCTGATTATTGCCGATGCGAAGCGATTGCATTTGTTCACTGGCGCGAAATAATCTCTCTTTTTTTTAACGCGCGTGCCTCTTGATTATTTTCAGCGATCTCTATTTATATTTTACGCTGGGCTGTCCATATGTTATCAATTTATCATGTACTAAAGATAACACGGACACTTAAGTAATATTTAAACGATCGAATTGGGTAAATTGAGTTTTATTATGTGAAACATCTAATGCGGCGGGTCAAAACGAGCGCGGCTCTTGGGTGGCAAATATCTACAAGTTTCAGTAGTTAACTTTCAACATGCACCTTAATTTGGAATATAATATATTATGTTAAGTTTTAATGTTTTTTTAAGATATTTATATTTTGTTTTTGTAATGAATAAGTCATTCAATTCGCTCGAAACCAAAAAATCTATCTAACTTTCCTTTTGAACATCAGACATGAACATCATGAACCCGCCCTTGGTACTAGTGACCCAGTGACGAACGTCAACCTAGTTTTGTTACCCTGTCTAGACGGCAACGAGCTAATTTTTATTTCAATGTCTCGGACGGACGGGACTGCGCCCCACCCCCGTCGCTACGCTTATCTTTTTTTTTACCCCTTCTATGACTGCTTTTAGTTTCAATTCAAATTGTCATTACTCAGTTTATTACCTACCAAATTCAATTATTACATTTTATAAAAGCGCTCTTTGTTCCGACTTCTAATATTGAAATCGAACCTTTACCAAATACATTATAACTCTCAACTGAAAATTCAATTAATTAGTGTTTTCGTTAATTCTTTTTACTATTTTTTTACAAAAACAATATTTTCACTTTCTAAGATAGTTGACTTATATTTTTTTTATTATTATATAATTAAAAAAATAATTTGCAAAAGGTATCTGGCATAACGATAAAAACCCGATATTAAGAATTATAAATTCAGATTAAAATTATTTAAATCTCTTTGGTGACATTATAAATTAAAAATATTAGTACTTAATCCGAATTCACGTAGCATGTTTGTTATTTGCAAAACATCTTCAAAATAAATAAATAAATAATAAAAAAATATTAAATATGTTTTAAGCATTGTTATTCATTAAGAAATCAGCCTTGAACTACCCATTTTCAAGGCAGACTGCTGAAAATCCATATATTAATAGTTTGCATTGAATCAATATTTTTGCTCTGCGAATCTGATGAATATAATATGAATATGTTAGTACTTGTTGAGGATATAAACTCAATGGTGAGTGTCATAGACACTATGTAAATGATTTAATAAGAAAAATAATAAACTGACACTAGTGTTTTTCAGGCATGCATGGCCGTTTTTATTTTCCACGTTCTATATAATTTCCCAACCTACAATGTTACTTCGACCCCCCCCCCTTCCCCCCTCCCTCTCGAAGAGAACTTCACCCCCGTTGAGCAAAACTCGGTCCCCCATAGAGCTACAGATGCGTGTTTGGTCTCTAATGAACCGAAAAAAAACTGCCCCGAGAAAAACAGCAAACGGCACATTATCTCGTAAAAGTATCGTCCGTAAACCAACAATACAGAAAACAAATATTTTTTTTCCAATTCAATTTTAATTGTCTCATAACTTAACGTCACTTGTAATATAACGAATATGTACGCATGAAACAAATTGTTTTGTGTATTGTCTCTGAAATTGATAGAATATAAATAAAATAAAATATGTTTATTTCGAACCAGAGTCCATATAGTGTTAGTAACAATGGAAGCTTAAAACTATGTTAGAACAATTCAAATTTAAATTAAATAATTAATAAATATTAAAATGATTATAATTTATTTTTCTGTCTTTGACGAGATGGACGCGAGTCCAGTGCTGCATAATAGCACTGCCACGCGTCCAGTCTCGCCACGACCGCCTTCAAGAGACTGTTGGCGCTACCCCGCACTCGCTGCAGCAGGGACGCGACGCGTTTCCTAATGATAGCCGATAGGCTATCTACTTCAGCTGCTGCTAGCATTCCGGAAGCTCTGCAGTGTCGTGGCAGCCCCATCAGGCCCCTGAATGCAATGTTATATTGGGTGCGCAGGACGCCGTATGATCTTTGGGTATAATTCGTCCACAGGCTGCACGTGTAAAGTGAATGACAGTAAGCTTTAAAAAGCATTACTTTAACATTTTTGGTGCAACGTACAAACCTGCGGGACAGCATATTAGATGCACAGTGCCCTACGCTCCCTCTCAATATCAAGGTCATCCTTGAGCAACTCGATGACCCAATGTCCCAGGTACCTGAAGTTGTGTACTTCCTTTAAAGGAGTGTCATTAAGTTTTACCATCGGCACGTTATACGTCTTATTTTTAGCCTTAAAAACCAGTAATTCACTTTAAGACACATTGTACCGGAGACCATGTGCCTCCACATAATATTCACAGATGGTTATCAGTTTTTTGAGAGCACTGATCGATGGGCACAGGAGTACCATATCGTCGGCGTAGCTTATGTTATTAAATAATGTGCCATCAAAAGAACAGCCGACCTCGGCGCCACAGCTCGTTCATGTACAAATTGAAAAGGGTTATTGAGCTTACTCCCCCCTGCCTCACTCCGCTTTGTAATTCGTACATGTCTGAGTGCTCACCTGTCCATTTTACATAATTACGTTGATTCAAATACCAGTATTTTAGATAGATAATACCTACCGAAAACCACACGGTTGTTTGTAGTACCAGAAACAAAATGACTTTCTAATGTGTTGCTATCAATTACACAGAGAGAACCATATAAGCAAATGTTCTTCAATACTAATATTATAAAGAGGAAAGACTTGATTGTTTATTTGTTTGCATTGAAATGGCTCCAAAACTACTGGATCGATTTATAAAAGTCTTTCAAATTTAGAATCCTATGTTATCCCTGATGAATATAAGCGATCAAATATTTAAAATAAAGTTTGGGAGTCCGTATGAAAAAATGTTAATGTAATGCTTTTTAAAGCTTCGATAAACCCAACGTGTGAAAAAATGCCAAAAAACCTTATATCGCATACGCTGCGCAAATACGCGCTAACTGTTATGTCGCGATTACTACGTTTTCATGTTAAAATATGCAATAGTAACGCGTCGGTAAAATCTAGGCCACCTTATTCTTCTTATTCTTTATTCGTACTTGGTTATTAGTCCTTACCAAATAAATCACTTAGTATTTTATATACTATATATAAATTATATTTAGAATTATACCCTTGAATAGGTATCGTGTACGTGTGACGTTGATACGTGATCTTGTTGATAAAATTAATATCACCTTATTACTTTCATATCACTTATTTCGTAATGTAGATGTGGCTTTGCCGTTTCTTAATATATAACTACCATGTATTTTCACCTCTGTCACAGACAGTGGAGATCTTGGACTTTGAAACTCGCTACGTATATCTATGGTAGAGACTGCTGAAATAAAAGAATAATAATACCCATGTGGGAATCAAATCCGGCGGTATTATTAGGCATCGACGGGCAAAGGGGAAAACACAAAAAAAAATCCTTTAAATACTAATCTTAACATTATTAACATTTCAGCCACATTGAACGAAAATGACTTGAATCATGAATCAGAAACGGATGACAACCCGTTGGGAAAACCGACACCTGTATATGTGAAACCAAATAACAAGAACGCAAACGACAAGCCAATTATTTACATTGCGGCTAAGAACCAACTTAAGAAAAACAACTATAGTATCATAAATCCGAAACGAGAGACGTATGCTAACTCTATTGCTACAGACAACAAGAAACCTATCAATTCCTTTCGAATTTCTAATAATGGAAATAATGACTTTGGTAGCACCCCTTCTAATTATGATGCTGATGCTGATCGATCCATTGGAATTACAGTAATACATATTACTTCAAATTATCATCTTACAACCAATAACAAAGGAAATTTAACCAACCATGCGTCTAATGATGAACACATAATAAATGTAAACGGTAATGTTACTAACAATCCATTCGAATACCAACTCACAATCGACGAAGATGGCAATGTAACAAAGACGTACAATAATTCAGCTGAAGAGGAGGACGATCCAGGTTACAAAAACAATAATAACACAATTAAAGTAATCGTTGCTTCAGGCGCAACAGAGTTGAATATTAAAAATCCTATATTTATAAAAGACAGTATTAAAATCAAAGAAATAGAGCCTTTATTAAAATATAACAATTTTTTTATGAACTCTACAATTGAAGATGAAGAGGATTTAAAAAATATAACTGAAAAAAAAAATATGGAGGACGATGAATTAAGCACTGTTAATGATTTTTATTTATCATCCCACAAGACGACTACTAATGAATATTATACATACGATGAAAACGATATAGCCGATCAATTGGCTTTTCAACAGTATAAAGCTGAAACAAATTTTGTTCCACAAACTGAAAGTGATAAGTACGCTCAGACGCTAGCGTCCTATAGATTCATGACTTTAGCAAAAGGTACCGAGTGGACAGATATAGACGATGAAACAAATCATAACACAGTATATCCAAGCCCTATTACCTCTACAAATTCGAAAGGAGTAAATAATTTTGAAAAAACTGAGTTACCTAATAACGAAGAAGATTCTAATAATTTGATAGATACACAAAGGGATAAGTTATTAGAATTCGTCGCTTTGGACACATATCGAACTTTCGAAACCGAGAAGCCTATATCTACACCACCAACTTCAATTGCAGCCAGCTCAGATTTTAAGTCTGTGACGGAGGAAGAAGCTGTGCCTCAGCCCACTATGTCATGTAAGTATCAAATCAACAAGCGATACTATCCTCTCCAAATCGTATTTTGAAAATTTTTAAGATATGGGTTATGTAGAGCATCTCTACTCATAATTTACTTTCCAATTATCATTATGATATTTTTTTGTATAGCGTTTCTTGAAAATAATCCGAATATTCTATTATTACCATTAATATTACTTCATGTTTTTTTTCGAGTAACCACTGTTGATCGATGTTTATTATCCAGATAATATGCCTCTTGTATAATAACAAAAAGAAATATTATTTTATAAACAGATATATTATATTGACCAGATCCGAAACTGGAGCACAGCTACCGGGTCTACAGCGGGTCAAATTTCAACATTGGTGCATTCGATAAAACCACCATACCACTAGTAAGTATCGTCATAGTTGCAACATACAAAAAATCCGCAATGGTCAATCTTTGGCATTAGCTAGCTAGCTCATTACAAAGATTGCAGAGGTTTTGATGAATTTTGATCCGCTTTTTGTTGCAAAAATATGACTTGTTGGATATGAAATAGGGGATAAAATATAAGGAAACCAATCACAAGCGAATCCGGGTCAACCATATTTTGGGCTACAGTTTGAGTTTCTTTTATAACTTTATAAAGTACATTATGTTCTATTATATAGCTAGCTAGCTCATTACAAAGATTGCAGTGGTTTTGATGAATTTTGATCCGCTTTTTGTTGCAAAAATATGACTTGTAGGATATGAAATATTTTGGGCTAGAGTTTGAGTTTCTTTTATAACTTTATAAAAGAAACTCAAACTCTAGCCCAAAATATGGGTGACCCGGATTCGCTTGTGATTGGTTTCCTTATATTTTATCCCCTATTTCATATCCTACAAGTCATATTTTTGCAACAAATAGCGAATCAAAATTCATCAAAACTACTGCAATCTTTGTAATGAGCTAGCTAACTATATAATAGAACATAATGTACTTACAGTCATCACGTAATAATAAGCCCATTTCTTAAAAAGAAAAGAAGCAGAAAGGATCTCGTTACTGTTGTACTACTAAGCGGGATAAAAGAATGTATGGAAATCCATTGATAACGCGCTGAGTGGGCAGAAAAAGTCTATGAAAATTTTTACCATGAGGAAATTAAATGCAAATTCCAATTTTTTTTTTAGTGAAATCTTCTTTAGCGGCGTTGTACACTTTTTTTGTATGGGTAAAAAATGATAAACTCGCGTCAGGTTAAACACGTGGGCTGATCGCATCATGACACACAATAAAATTGGAAAGGTTGTTGACTTTCAATATATTGGACGAAACATAGTAATATTTTGTTTTATCGTATTATAATAATAAGTCTCGATCTAGGACGTCCACGTGGCAGCTTTATTGCGAAGAAAATGCATTTTTTTTACAATAGATGTCGCTAGGTGCGCTTAAATGTGATTCATGTAAGTTGATTTCTTTACAATAAATGTTGCTAAGTGCGCTTAAACGTGATTCATGTAAGTTGATTTTTCTGAAATATAAACTTTTTTAATGTAATATAAATTGTCATGTTTGTGTATGATAGCGCAATAAATAATTATTGTATTCTACCACATACATGATAGTACTTTTATACTGATAAAATTAAAGCAATTCGTGAAAAATTATTCCCTAACCATTCCAAAATATCAAAAATGTACAACGTTAATATTCAAGTTTTCACTTCTGCCGGCACTCCCGGAGTGCAACCCGTCGTTTTTTTCTTAATTCTTTATTTATAATTTATATTAAAATTATTGCAGTCATTAAAACCTAGTGCGGAAAGGGCACAGTGGGGATTGGTTCCAGTGTGGGTGGAGACCAGTGCGGATTGGGTCCTGTGCTGATCGGACGTTGTGCGGATTGGGACCAGTGTGGATTGGAAACAGTGCGGTTTAGGGCCAGTGCGGATCAGGCCTTGTGTTTGTGTACGATAGCGCAATATTTATTTTTTGCGCTATCGTACACAAACATGACAATTTATATTATATTAAAAAAGTTTATCTCTCAGAAAAATCAACTTACATGAATCACGTTAAAGCGCACTTAGCGACATCTATTGTAAAGAAATCAACTTACATGAATCACATTTAAGCGCACCTAGCGACATCTATTGTAAAAAAAATGCATTTTCTTCGCAATAAAGCTGCCACGTGGACTTCCTAGATAGAGACTTATATTATTATAATACGATAAAACAAAATATTACTATGTTTCGCCCAATATATTGAAAGTCAACAACCTTTCCAATTTTATTGTGTGTCATGATGCGATCAGCCCACGTGTTTAACCTGACGCGAGTTTAACCATACAAAAAAAAGTGTACAACGCCGCTAAAGAAGTTTTCACTTAAAAAAAATAGGAATTTGTATTTAATTTCCTCATAGGTATAGTATAAAGCACTATGTATCCCTCGAAACAAAATACTATTCTATTTATTATTCCTCGGCTGCGCCTTAGTCCTCAAACTTCACCTGCGTTGGCAATTTGTCACTTCCTCCCCTCGGTAAACAATTTACTATTATTTCGTGTAAAACTTGAACCAGCAAGAGAAACTTTAAAAAATGGACAATTCTGTAGTTGAGGTTGCCAAGGTCCGAGTAGAGGAATTATGATGATTGAGATGATTTCAAGACATATGGAGTCAAAATATGCATGGTGCTAAAGGTGGTGAAATTACCAGGTGCAGTAGATATGCTGGAAGGAAGAAAATATAAGCCTAGATCGCAAGGCACGGCCACACCAGAAGAGGTGCAGATTTATCAAAATAACTAAAAGATTTGACAAATTATAGCAGTCCTAATTACAACAAACATGCGAACTGAGATACTGCAAAAGATGATGCGTTTCAGCAATTTCAAAGACAAGTGGGACGAGCTACATATAGACTATATAAAGGCTTTACGGTGGATAAGTCCTATGAAATGTCTCAGAATTTCTTTGCATACCAGACAGAAGAAAAGCATGATAATGGCTACACATTATCGCTTTCCATCAGGCGAGATTGTGGACAAACGCCTTGCCTATTAAACATTAAAAAACATATTTCGATAATCAAAGGTCATTGCCACGAAACCAAGAAAGCTTTAGAGCTGACTGAGGAAATTCCAAATGGAATTTTGTACATATATTGGACATTTTCCCATCAGAATATTATACCCTTCAAATCTAGCTGTAATCAAATACCAAAGAACGATCGCACAGGGAACAACCTCACAGTCCGCACATGGACGAAATATTAATAATGTAGATAGCAAACACAGAAGTGGGTATATATTATGTGCCATTGGTTCTTCAAAAAGTTAATTAGCAGTGGTGAGAGAAAATATAAATTTTGTGGCCATGAACAGCAGATTTTTAACCATTGCTGCAATACGCGAGTATTACTTGATTGAAGAAGCAATTCAGGCAGTAATTCCACAAGAATGGAAAATCTGTGTAAATTCGAAAACGAAAATATTGCCGTTGGTGAAACTGTGCAGATGACGATGATTCCAGTTCCAGTTAATCCTATGAGGCAGGCAGCAATCAGCAACTTGATGATGCAGGAATATTCTAGATAGGGTCTTATATTGTTGTAAGGTTAAGTTTCTCTTTTATTTTCTGTTTATATTTATAGTTTTTTTATTGTGTAAGATGGCCAATAAAGGTATTTTCATTGCATTTCATTTTATTTCAGATAGAAACTCGGATAATAATAAATTGTATGAAAGTTTTATAAATATACAATAGTAATTTTTAACAAATATCAAACGCGTTTTAGTCGATGTATAATCGACGTATAACGGGGTTACCATGTAAGCGATGTTAGTTGTAGCTGAATATGACTATTTAAAAATCGACTAGGTATTCAATGTTATATTTTATAAATAATATAATATTTTGTCTATGATTTGGGGTTCAAAATTTCCAATTTATACGTGAATTTATTCTTACAATTTATTAACTTTAAGGACATTAGTTATTAGAGTAATTTAAACAGTACTTCAATAAAACATTAAATTCATGATCAGTTGAATCGATTCTTCGAATGTAATAGCAAACTGCGTTCCTTTATACGCTAAATGCTACGATCCTTTATATGTTAAAGGTTTTATACAATTTTTTGAGTTTAACCACTAGCTAAAAAAAACTTTATCTTGTATCACTTACTTTTTAATGTGTTATTATAATATCAAAATATTACGTTTGTACGAGATCAGTACTTACCAACATGGTTTTTCTCCTTTAACTTGCAATACTCTATTGCAGACAACCGGCATGCAGGTGACAGTAAATAAAAAGTTGTAAAATTGTCAACAGTTTTTGAAGTTATACTTCTTTAGCCGCGTTATGAAAAAATTATGAGAGTGAAATTTTAAGATGAGCGCGCATCACGGGCCGCGGGCGCGTTATGAAAAAATCATGTGAGTGAAATTTCGAGATGCGCACGCATCACTGTAACACAATAGTAACACCATGAAGTTGACCGCGGGCGCGTTATGAATGTTAGTGTCTAATAATGGTGGATTATTAACCACTTAGTGGTTAATAATCCACCATTATTAGACATCTGTTCGAAAGGTACTTTGAACGATCCACGGAGCTCCATAAGATGATCGCGTTGTCAAAAACAATGTTGGCACGCTCGTCGCCTCTGATCACTGTTTTCATATTTATAATATTTATCCACATGTTTCTAGTTTCTATATAGACACAACGTGTTTTAGTTACTTACAAGTGCTAATTACATATGGACTAATAACTTAAATTCAGTAGTGATTTTAATTTAATATTTTGAATATTTATTTAATTTTTCAAATTAAAACTAAACTTAATTGACTGTGTTAACTATCCTTTTCCAGTCCTTTTATTATTTTATTGTAATTATTAATTATTTGCATGCAATTAAAAAATATTTTTAATGATGCTAAAGAAGTATAGGGGCATTCCACGTGAAGCGGACAGGTAAAAAAACTCGATGTTTCCGATTTCAGTAATATTTGAGTATGTTCTACTTATACTTATTATTGATACGCGTACCAAATATTTTTGTGATATAATGACTAGTTAAAGAGTAATGGGACTTTGAAGTTTTCGACAACCGGTTGGCATGCAGTACTTCAAAGCCGATTATGGACTCATAAAATTATATATTAAAATAATTAAACCACTGGATTTCCTACTTTATTTACTGGGCTTTTTAACTGTGTTTTTGGAAAAGAAAAAAAAAATTTTTTTTCGTAAAAAAAAATCAATTTATGTTTTTTTCCTTGATTTTCACCAAGTTAGACCATTTAGTTTTTTTTTATTTTTTTTTATATAAATTGCTAATATTGTGTAGAACATTGGTGCCAACTTTTATAATGGGCGTGAAAGTGGATTAGGAGCTAGACTGA